GTCTGAAGGGATAACGAGTGATGAAGGGTAAAAATTCGTTAATGTTAAAGATTGTCTCGATAGTGCTCTCCCAGTTATCCATCTCTCTCCTAAGCACAACACTTCTCACCTGGACGGGTTCCACACAGGGCTTGGAGGAGTCTGCCAGAATATGTCTGACGTTAGGGTGTCCGTGGGCAGAGTCGCCGTTGACGAAGACGGGGAGCGTCTTGCGGAGCTTGGTCAAGGCGGCCATCAACACGTCTTCATGTTTGGGGTCCGTCACCACCATCTCTGTTTGACTGTTCGCAAGCTGGCGTGCAACCTCATCTGTGTGGGATATTGTGGAGCGATGGTTCACGAGGGTTTGGTGCGTGTGTGTGTGTGTGTGTGTGTGTGTGTGTGTGTGTGTGTGTGTGTGTGTGTGTTTACTAGTTGTGTTTTGCGGGGGTTGAGCTTTGCTCTTTCGGCCCGCCTCTCAACTGTCAATCAACTGTTTTACTAACTACTTTTTTTTTTTTTTCCCACACCACACACACACACACACCAGGAAGCAGCCCGTGACAGCTGACTAACTCCCAGGTACCTATTTACTGCTAGGTAACAGGGGCACTTAGGGTGAAAGAAACTTTGCCCATTTGTTTCTGCCTCGTGCGGGAATCGAACCCGCGCCACAGAATTACGAGTCCTGCGCGCTATCCACCAGGCTACGAGGCCCCCATGATGTGTGTGTGTGTGTGTGTGTGTCGCAGTTAGTATCGGAAATTTAAAATATTAATAGACCTTGTAGTAATATCAAAATATGCCTCAGTGAATGAAGGATTGCGTAGTCAAACATAAGCAAACAGTTGGATTCAAAAGTTTGTTTTTTTATGGAAGGCGCAAACAAAACTCTCAACTTTGAAAACAAATAACAAGGCTTGTCATTTTTCTTTATTCTTTGAAATCCCTTTTTTTCAAGGGACGTATCAGCACCCTCCGTAGCCTCTTTCAGCACAAAGCAGGGAATAGAAATAACCATTAATTTTACATCCGTCAACCTCAGAAGCCTGCCCAACTTCGAAACTTTCACGTATTTTGAATATTGATAACTGTGACAGTATTTAATAAATGCAAAGATGTTGGCATCCGATTCAGAACTCTAAGAAATTCACTAAAGTATCATATTATCATTTATTACCTTCCCGTACACAGACTATTATCTAGTCCAACAGCAAATTAGAAGATGGAAAAATATGTTGCATCTGAAAAAAAACAGTCAATACGAATCCACAGCAAAACACTTTTATTCGAATGTCTTCGTGATTTATTTGCATGTCTTACCGACTGTATACTGAGAACTTAGAGTTGTGACGGTTGCACCAGCGGCCACAGTTCCCAGTAGGAGGATGAAAAACTCCGGGGCGTTGGTACAGAAGATTGTGAGGCGCTTCTTGGATTCCGGGGAGACCATCACCTGCGACACCACCCCAGCCCAACGAAGGGACAGGTCCACTAGGTTGCCATATGTGTACTTCCTCCCCGTTATCCCGCACTCCTGAGGGAGAAGAGGAAATGTCAGACTGACACAAATGGTTTGTTTGGGGGGCCGCTAAATTACTGCTAACACTATTATAAAAAAAAACCTTGGCGTGCAAGCATAGACCCATAAATGCAGACTTTGACTGTGTACTTAAAGTCCGATTTCAAATCAAATCAAATGTTTATTCAGGTAAAGTACATACATACAAGGTGAGATACAAACATTGATGGATTTATAGATAGAGCTAGAACATACAATGCCTAAAGCCACTATTACGCAAAGTGTTTCGGGCAGGACATCATTTCGGTGTATGATGTTTCGTGAAGAGAGCCCAGTGCAGTGGTGCTACTCAGACTCGTGTGAACGACAGTTAAAACAATAATGAGGAAAGAAATTTACCATGGTATACCAACCGCCATTTTGAACTGGTTTGAACCTATGAGATTAGACTTCTTTGGTCGCGACACCATGCCGTTCGATAATTCTGTGAAGCCGCTGCACACGCAAGGGTATGCAGCTGCATCACTGAAGGATTTCAAGTTTCATACAGTGATCTGAAGGCTTCCTTGTCAAGGTTTTTTTGAAGACTACCATTACACAAATAAGTTACGCGTATGCTGCGGGCGATATTTTGCTAATGTGTTCGGACATCAGGATTGGTATGTGTGTGTGTGTGTGTCCCGCCTCTCAACTGTCAATCAACTGGTGTACAGATTCCTGAGCCTACTGGGCTCTATCATATCTACATTTGAAACTGTGTATGGAGTCAGCCTCCACCACATCACTTCCTAGTGCATTCCATTTACTAACTACTCTCGCACTGAAAAAGTTCTTTTTAATGACTGTGGCTCATTTGGGTACTCAGCTTCCACCTGTGTCCCCTTGTGCGTGTACCTCCCGTGTTAAATAATCCATCCTTGTCTACCCTATCAATTCCCCTGAGAATTTTGTATGTGGTGATGATGTCTCCCTGAGCTCTTTTGTCTTCCAGCGACGTGAGGTGCAGTTCTCGTAGCCTTACCTCATTCTGTTCTGGAAACAGAACACTAGGCTAGTTCTGGGACTAGCCTAGTGGCATACCTCTGAAGTTTTTCCAACTTAGTCCTGTGCTTGACAAGGTACGGGCTCCATGCTGGGGCCGCATACTCCAGGATTGGTCTTACATATGTGGTATACAACGTTCTGAATGATTCCTTACACAGGTTTCTGAAGGCTGTTCTGATGTTAGCCAGCCTCGCATACACCGCCGATGTTATTCTTTTGATGTGGGCTTCAGGAGACAGGTTTGGCGTGATATCAACTCCTAGATCTTTCTCTGTCTGTTTCGTGAGGGACGTTCTCTCCTATTCAGTATCCTGTGTTTGGCCTGTTTCCACTGCCTAGTTTCATCACCTTACATTTACTTGACATTTACTTCAGCAGCTATTTGTTGGACCATTCCTTCAGTTTGTCTAGGTCATTTTGTAGCCTTATACTATCTTCCTCTCTCCTAATCCTCCTCATAATTTTTGCAGTTCTCAGACCATTGTCATGGGTGATATTAATACTAGACACACTAACCTGGGCGACACAACAACAAATAGAAATGGTAAAGTTTTTGTTAAATATCTTTGAGACAATAACATGTCCGTATTCAACTTTAACTCGTCTAACGTCACACATCTCAGGGTTGGCAGACTTGATTATGTCATTGGTCAAGGTCTCATCGATAATGATGTCCAAGGATCAATTGTTCACGAATTAGTTAGTGATCATTTTGCCATCCTCAGTTCATACACCATAAATAATGTCAAACCACAAAGTTGTGAAATAAAAATAATCCCTATCCCTGAAAATTTACACATGCACTTCAAATACCTCATTTCTGAATGTTATAACTCTTACAGTTTTACTACTGTCAGTGCATTATATGGTCACTGATGTAACCGCTTTTATGACAATATTGTAAAATCCTCAAGACCCAACACAGCCAGGAAGGGACAGAGGTGGTTCACTGACTCACGCCTTAAGCCCCTGCATGACAGAGTTCTATTCCTAGCTGAGCAGTATAAAACACATAAAACAGCTGACACCCTCAACATATTTCTTAAAGCCAGCCGAGAGTTTAGAGAGCTAAAGGAACAAGTGTATAATCAGCACTGGGAACAGTTTTTGCAAGACATCAATCATGCAACATCCTCATCCCAAATGTGGAATAAAATTAAAAAGATTCCTCGTCCTAGCAGTCGTCAACTTGATCACCATTCACCAGCAGACTATGCCGACATGCTGCTACAACAATATGCAAGCACTGCCAGTATAAGCAGCCTGCCCCTAGATGTACAACACCATCTGGCTAGTACCAAAATAAATCGTAACTTCAATATTGACATTACCTGTAGTGAAATAGGGCCTGATGATAACTATGGCATATAACCCTTTGAAATTAAAAATGCACTCAAGAAAGGTAAGGCTACCTCCTGGAGAGGATGGCATCACATACAATACCATGAGAGTACTTGCTGAGCTGCCGAGCACTCCCTTTGCTAGAATTGTTTAATCAAAGTCTAAGGCAGGGTGTCTTACCTGACCGCTGGACACAGGGACTCCTAATACCCATACCCAAGCCTAATTCCCAAAATTTCAGGCCCATTTTTCTGACGTCGTGCATGTGTAAAGTTCTTGAGAGGATTATCCTTGACAGACTAATGTTTCAAATTAGGCCCCACCTTGCCCCTAACCTGTATGGTTTCCTTCCTGGAAGAATCACACATACTTGTTTTGCTGAATATATTATTAGAGAGGGACCAAGCTCTCAGGTGGCATTTATTGGCCTCCAAATTGCTTTTGATACAGCAAACAGATAAATAATCTTAGAACAACTAGCTTCTTTTGGAGTTAAGGGAAGACATGGCTCAGGGGGTACCTGAGTAACAGAACCGCCTCAGTCCTTTTCAAGGGGGTCAAAAGTAAACATTATGTACCCTTTGAGTTGGGTACAACCCAGGGTGGAGTGCTTAGCCCAACACTGTTCAATGTTCTAATGCACAAATTAACAATTGATATTCCCACACTAGCTGACGGAAAATCGGGCAGAAAATCTTGTGATAGTCGCCGAAATTAAGAGAACTGTCAAGGTACTAACCAATTGCCAAGGAAGAGTCGTCAAGTTTCTGTGGATCCCCTCCCATGTTGGAATATGTGGAAATGAACGAGCAAATGTGCTGGCACCTGAAGACGCTGAAGGAGACCATATTGAATACTTCCTATCCAAACCTCTTCTACAAATTAGAGGTATTATCAGGCAACATCACCGTGACAAGGTAACTGAGGAAAGGAGGATAGAAGCACAAACCAGTGAATCTGTACTATGATACAACATGGTTGCAGCTGGCAATCCCAATCATTATGGATGAAGAGGAGGAGGAGGACACGGGAGAGAATCAGTAATAGCGAGAATCCGTCTTGGATACAAATATCCATGGAGATTCGGAATGGAAACAACAGTTGATCAGTGGAGCTGCTGAATCTGTGATGAGAGTGACGGACACCGCCTTGACCACTATCTACGTGAATGTGAACTGAGGTACATTAGAAATATGTGTAGAATATTAAACCCCACATTATTTGAGTTAGGAAAACACTCTTTGTCAAATATTGATACTGTTCTTAAAAGATTACCCCCACTTTGCACCCGCAAGATAACGTAAGCTTTTAAGGGTTATCTTGAGGTTATCTTGAGATGATTTCGGGGCTTTTTATTTGTGTGTCCCCGCGGCCCGTGATAGCTGACTAACACCCAGATACCGATTTTACTGCTAGGTAACAGGGTCATAGGGTGAAAGAAACTCTGCCCATTGTTTCTCGCCGGCGCCTGGGATCGAACCCAGGACCATAGGATCACAAGTACTGTGTGCTGTCCGCTCGGCCGACCGGCTCCCCGGATGACAGATGTTAATCTTCCTGTTTGAGGAGCTGTTCACTTGAGACAGTTAAGCAAGTCTCAGCTGTGTCTGGGTATAAGTGACAGAATGAACAATCCAGCGGATTTTCTTCCTATTGAGGAGTGCTGTACATGCTGTATGGTGGTATGACCACTCACAGGATGAGTGACGCTGTCCAATAAATTCGCCCCTCGGGGCAAAATTAAAAAAAAATAAAAGCGTAGGTTAAAGGAAAGACTTAAACGACTGAAAACACTTACTTGTAAGAATATTGATATCAATATTAAATATGCTAGATTATTCTATATGACGTTTGTTAGATCTCTAGTTGATTATCATGCCTTGTACCTTATTAACCTCCCCGCCTCTGTGTTGGACAAACTTGAAGTAGGACAAAATGAAGCCATGAGGATTATTCTTAGTGCCCCAAGATGCACAAGAATCATCAACATGACGAAGAACTGAAGCTTCCAACCATACTAGAGAGAATAATGCAAGTCAACACGACCTTTTGCCTTAAAGTCATGAGAGACCCTACATCTCCTGCATTGCGCAGACAAATTATTCAGTGCTGTTAACACCCTATTGACTGATGCCAACATACCAACTCACTCCTCCTATGATAAATGGCTGAGTAAAAATACCTACAATCTCACCAAACTCAACATTCTTTTTAAGTGTAATCTACCTGTCTCCGATATTCCCCGTTATCTGTACCCCACCATTCAAGTATCATACACATCCGTCACCAAGAAAGATAATGAGAATCTTGCTCTTCTCAAAACAAAATTATTAAGGATGGTAACAGAGTTCATTTCATGTGGTCTCCATCTCATGTTGGCCTCCGAATGCATGAAAGAGCTGATAAGTTAGCCAAAGAATCTGCCTTTAAAGGAGCCGTTGAGCGTAACCTTGGATTGTCAATGAGCAATCTGAGAGCAGCAGTACACCGAGAACTTCAACAAGATCTTGTAGATCTGAGGCAAAGTGAAATTGACACCAGTAATTCCATCTATCATCATGCTATCATGCAAGAGGAGCCACACATCTATGGTTCATCCAATAAAATCAGCAGACCTCTAAATGTTACTACTGCTCGGCTTAGACTCGGTTACACGTATCTCTGGGAATTCTCATTATCTGCTGATGTAGACCTGACCAAATGTAAACTGTGTCAACAAAATTATTCGCACACCATCCGTCACTATGTGATGGAGTGCGAAAAGATACGTGAATTTAGAGACAATTCTATAACCAATGTTCCAGCGATGTGTAAATATTTCATTCAAAATTATCTGCTACCAGAAATTTTAGCCAAATATCTCCAGTTTGCTAACTGTAGGTAGTAACTGAGTGATTGTAACCTATCCACCGCTGCCCACTGGATGGGGGGCGGTGTGCAGGACAAACATATAAATTGTGACACTAGCTCTCCACATATGTCAGTTGCTTAATTTAGAACCTGTACTTGAGGTCGATCTCGAACCCATTGTTGATGTGATGACTTATATTGAATTTTGTAACTAGCTCATCAAGACTGTAACTTGCTTAGCTAAATGAATTGTGGGGTTCAGTCCCTGAGCCCATTGTGTGCCTCTGTAACCCTTTCCACTACCGCCCACAAGATGGGCATGGGGTGCATAATAAATGAACTAAACTAACTAACTAACTCAAAGCTACCACACTTGAAACAATTTCCTCCTCAATCGAAAATTTAAGATCTCACGAGCACTGTGTCTACACCGACGGCTCAGTCCAATCTTCTACTGGACGGACTGCAGCGGCATGTTGGTTTTATAGAAATAATATTTACACGAAGACTGTCAGTGTCAGGTTAACCAATGGGCTGACCTCCACACAAACAGAACTAGCGGCACTTCAACTAACTACCAGAACATTAAAAAAACATTGGAGTAAGAATAATATTTTGTAATTCAAAGTCTGCTCTTCAAGCAATTTTAAACTTCTGGAAGATCGACAGCAAGAATCTCATACTAGCAATTATAAATGACCCAATTGCTGCACAGAGTAAAGGGTTTCGAATCTCCTTTGTATGGATACCATCACATAAATATAACCCATCATAATGACACAGACATTGCAGCCAAATTAGCGTGTAACAGAGATGAGGTTGAATTAAACCTAGGAATCCTCATCTCTGCCGTCAAAATTATATTGTATCAAACACTCAGGTCTGATAGGAGAGAAATTACTGACTCCCAACGACCTGAAAATACCAGTATAAAAAGCTATGATTTGTTCAGATCTGAAATCTATATCTATGGGCAGCACAAAACGTCCACTAGACTGTGCGACACAGTGGTTGCCAGGTTCAGGTTAGGTTACCGTTACCTGTGGCAGGTGGCTACAGGTGACGGATCTCCCAATAATGAGCACTCCAGGTGCAAACTCTGTGAGCAGGAATTGGGATATGATCTCGCTCACTACATCACCGAATGTCCATTTATCAGACCATTCAGACCCTTTGGCATAAGGTACCTGGAGCTTTGCAATTATTTTATTCATTCGTATTCTTGAGGATATCCTCATATTGCACCCAAAGTTTGCCAGTGCAGACTACTGATCACAGGCCTCTATATGACTAACCATCCTGTGTGATGGGGATTTTTACCATCACGTAGCTAGTTTTTTAACACGCTGTACTCCCCTTCAAATAGTCTAGGATAGCTGCACAAATGCAGATGTACCTAAATGTGTAATTCAAAAAAGTGTCATTTATATATATATATATATATATATATATATATATATATATATATATATATATATATATATATATATATATATATATATATATATATACATGAACACGGAAGTTGCAGTAAAAAAAAAATAGGAATAGACGAACCTTTGACTTCAAGGAAAAGAACGTAATTATTCAATTGTATGCTGATCATCTCTACTTATCAACCTACTTAAGACAAATTATCAAATGACTCTACAGTTGATGTAAACACAGGTATTGCAAGAGGTCAATTCTATTATTTATGGCATACTTTAATTAACATCATTAAGAGATGTCAGATTAAACCATCAGTGCATTATATCTTTGAGATACTTAAGATAATAATCACTATCATTAGTAGCGCACTGTATCTTAGGCTTCCCACTCCCCCAATATTAGTACTTAAGACCTTATCTTCACCAGTGTAATCACCTCTGTCAATTTATATTTACTTGATATGTTAGATTAAGGACCTGCCCATTAACAATCTTATGTAACCTCACAAACCCATTGTACCTTCATGTAAATAAAATTATTATTATTACTAACTATTGCGTCTTTGTCAGCCCATTTTAAAGCTCTTGCGAAGATGAGGCTATGGAGGTCTTGTTGAGGCAGTTCCATTGGCGGGGTCGGACTGTACACCACATTCTTCTCACGACTGGAAATAATAATAATAATAATTATTATTATAACAATAATAGTAATCATAATAATGCGGACAGAAAGTCACAATAACGTGTCTGAACATTTTACACCCAACCCACACATCATTTATTTTCAAAAGTGTGGGTCAGGTGTCTAACAATAGTAATAATAATATTAATAATATTATTATTACTATTTTCAAGGCTACCTGATGCAAAATATTGAATGTTAACACTAAATTGCTCCCTGAAAAAAAATAAAAAGTATTTTGGATACTAAAGAATATAATTAATAACAATTAATCACCATAACCTAAGCTGTGAAATCTACAATAATTGTATATAACAATGAAAACTTATAATGCATAAAATCTAAATCTTATCGAAGTGTACAAGGCTTCCCAGGGGGTTGGGGGGGGGCATGGGGTCCACTTGATCTTTTTTTTTTCTACCACAGACGTGGCCACACATTTACAATGCTAACCAGCATATATACATTTTCTTCTGTCCTCCATGGACAGGGTTAGAGAAGTGTTAAACATATAGTTCAAGGGTTTATTGAACACTCAACCACAGAAGGTGATTCGGTGCTTTTAAAATGCTAGTCGACTCCATATTCATCCGATGAGTCGTAGTGAGCTCCTTAACCATCCTCTACGTGTTAGTGGACCCCATACCCAGCCTATGAGTGATAGTGACCCCCCCCCCCCCCATAGACAGCCAGCGAGTGGCAATGGACCTCAAAACCATGTGAGTAGCAGTGAAAAAAGTTACAAAAGGCCTTATGAAATATTATTGATACGTTATACAAGTATCAGGAACGAAGCCTTGTAAGACAACAGGGCTCTCGTGATGGTTGTGTCATCACTGATAACAGACCAAAGATAACTGCACTCAAACTTAACCCCCAAGAACTTCTCCATTAAAAAAAAGGAAATGCTCCTACGTGATTGATTGCCCCCAACGAAGGTTACTTTTTTGTGCACCCCATACTCACCCTGTGAGCTATAGGTTATTGTGCACCCCATACTCACCCTGTGAGCTATAGGTTATTGTGCACCCCATACTCACCCTGTGAGCTATAGGCTATTGGGCACCTCATATTCATCCTGTGAGCTGTAGGTTACTGTACACCCTATACTCATCATATGTATGTGTATTAAGTATATATGGAAGCTGATCAGAATTACATTTCACCTTTGTAAATGCACATTAATGACACTATGTAAAAGACACATCGAACACTTTATGTAGGGCATACGTAAATCTGTGTATCTATGTATTTACGTATGTAGGTTAGCTTAGCATTTTAAAAGCACCGAATCACCTTCTGTGGTCGATTGTTCTATAAATCCCTGAACTATATGTTTAACACATCTCTAACCCTGTCCATGGAAGACAGAAGAAAATGTATATATGCTGGTTAGCATTGCAAATGTGTGGCCACGTCTGTGGTAGAAAAATAATAATAAAAAAAAACTCATCATGTGAGCTGTAGGTTATGTGCGCTCCATACCCATCCTGTGAGCATTAGTTTCTTGTGTACTCCATACTCATCCTGAGAGCAGTAGTTATCGTACACCCCATACTCCTCCTGTGAGCAGTAGTGCATTGTGCACTCCGTACTCAACATGTGAGCTATAGGGTATTGTGTAACCCATACTCATCCAGTGAGCGGTAGTTTAGTGTTCGCCTCATACTCATCCACCTATACTGGCAATCAAAGATTATACTGGCAATCAGAGATTATACAGACAATCAGAGATGATATTGGTGATCAGAGACCACCTATACTGGTAATCAGGGACTATCCCCAGTATAATCTATGATTTTACTGGTAATCATAGATTATACTGGGGATCAGAGACCACCTATACTAGCTGGCAATCAGAGACTATACTAGCAATCAGAGATTATACTGGGGGTCAGAGTATATTATACAGCGCTTTTGATCATATCAAACATTTGAGATACATACCAAATTAAGGATGAATGAAGGACTAACGGCGTCAGTGTCTCCCTGGAAAAGACCGTCAACAAAAAGCAATACAATAAGGTATATATCATTACTGCCTATCAGAAGCATACATTTGAGGCGGGAATAGATTACTTGGTGGGCTGGTAGACGGGGCTTGAGTGACTTGGTCTGGCGCTGGGCTGGATGCTGGAGGCGGCAGGTACCATAGAAGGCTTCCAGGAAGCGACCCGGTGGACGCTCGTCGGCCCGCGGCCGAACCATCTTGCCAAAAACATCGCAAGTTCTTATTTTTACTGTAGCGCCTAGAAACAATCACAATTGCTTCCATTAGCTACTGGTTAGATCGTCGTAAAATATAGTAAAGTACCCTTCTATATTTGACCAGATCACACACCAGCAGGTGAAGGGACGACGACGTTTCGGTCCGTCCTGTACCATTCTCAAGTCGATTGTGAGAATCGTCGACTTGAGAATGGTCCAGGACGGACCGAAACGTCGTCGTCCCTTCACCTTCTAGTGTGTGGTCTGGTCAAACTACTTTAGCCACGTTATCGTGACTCATCGCCTACCCTTCTATATATTACACAAGACTAGAGAATGAGTACAGTTCTGGAATACTTTGTTGGTCTAGTTACAGTTTGTGACAATAAAACGTCTTATTCTGTGTTGCACAGATTCTTGCATGTTAAAAAGTTTTTGACAAGACTTTTGTTTTGAATTTTGTTACAGTCGATTGCTTCTGTGCGGGCGGCTACGCGCAGCCTGTCCTCAGGCCTTGACATTCTTGTTGTTACAAGAATGTAACAACTCTTGTATATATCTAAAAAAAAAAAAAAAAAAATACGCGGGAAGTAGCCGGCGTCCATGCCTCAAGCCCTCATTCCGAATCCAGCCGCCAACCTTGTCTGACGCTTGCTTGCTTAATTTGGCCAAATTGAGTAAGAAGTCGTCGTGGCGGCTGGCTACTCTACAAGCTCCATCCACAACTTCAACTACTACAACGTCGTCTGCACAGAATCCAGTATAGGCGTTGAATTTCGAAGGGGAGAAAGACAGTGAGCGTAGTGGGTAGGAATCGTGGAAGTGGGTAATTTGCATACGAGCGGTCAATGTGCTTGTGTGTCCCCACCCCAGTGATAAATACAGACGTTCTGTATCCTGCTAGTGGTCTGTAGCAGTCGAGTGAACGGAGATTATTCTTGTCAGTGTTCAGGGCAGTTTTTCCAATAAAAATTCGTAAGAGACGCTAGGCCTGAACGCGCCATCCGTGTACGAACGCACCGCTTTACCAGTGTGGGGGGGGGGTAGTGTACGAACCGAGCCGTGTGTCATGAAGGTGACGAAAACGCGCCAAGATACCCATGTACGAACGCCACCACGTACGTTAGGCTCCCAGCCTAGCCTAGACGCTGTGACCAACCACCTACATGTAAGGGGGCCCTGTGTAGGGTGGGACACTTGGGTGTGTGGATGTAAGCCAGCTGTGTAACTGAGAGCCAGTACCTTGTGTGCGTTCTGGTGATTAATTATCTCTAAGCCTGAATTCGAGATCAGGTGTTCCGCCTCATTGTCATCCAAGCACCCAAGCACTTCACCAAGAGGTGAAGTGGGAAAGCATGAGATTTTCACCCTTATTGATATTTTGTCAGTCTCAGAGGGACTTAGCCTAGTGTAGACAGGCGTCCCTGTATGTGTATGTGCGTGGAAGTGTACACACAGGAGCAGATTTTACATTGATTAGCCAAGGACTGTGAGATTGTCCAAGTAATTTTATTTCTGATTGGGGAGAAAAAACAAGCCAGGAGTGGGGGGACCTTAATTTATTAAATAATGTTTACAGAGCAACTGCTGTACCACAATATTCCTGCCCGAAACTGCTGTACCACGTTCCTGCCCGAAACGCTTTGCGTAATAGTGGCTTTAGGCATTGTATGTACTAGCTCTACCTATTAACCCGACAAACTTTGTAAAATCTCTTTATGTATGTACCTTACCTAAATAAACATTTATTTATTTATTATTTAATATAAAAGATGTCGTGTAACATGACTGAGTAGAATGCCAGTACTGCAAAGATGCAACTAAGGGAATGAGTCGTAGGACATTAACCGTGCCTAGTGCCAGCTAGCCGAAGCAATGTTGCAGTACTCGCAATCAGCTTAATACTATAATTAAAAACAATGCCAGAGTTAATTGAGTGGCACAGCCAGTACAGTATGTATAAAATATATTCTGTATACACAGAGGGCATAGAAAAGAATAGATAAGAATTTCCAGGGGTAATGATATGCTAGTGCCTAGTTTACATGTAAAGTCTGCAACCCCCAACTTGCACTACAAGTGAGCACTTGACATATGGAAGTAGCTGCGGGCAGCCCTAGACTTGGGGATCCGGCGCAGCACCCCCACTCCTCAGGCCAGCGAAGCCGGTCCCCCACCCCCCGAAGGGCGAGGTGCCCGCTGGCCGCAGAAGTAACTTATCTAGGTAATGGAATGACGTCTTGCCTGACGTAGGAGTGGAAAGCATCACTTTTGCCACCAGACTAGTACCCGAGCTGAGAGGTATGAGCTACGAGGAGAGACTACGGGAATTAAACCTCACTTCGCTGGAGACGAAGAGTTAGGGGGGGGGACATGATCACCACATTCAAGATTCTGAAGGGAATTGATAGGGTAGATAAAGACAGGCTATTTAACACAAGGGGCACACGCACAAGGGGACACAGGTGGAAACTGAGTGCCCAAATGAGCCACAGAGATATTAGAAAGAACATTTTTAGTGTCAGAGTGGTTGACAAATGGAATGCATTAGGAAGTGATGTGGTGGAGGCTGACTCCATACACAGTTTCAAGTGTAGATATGATAGAGCCCAATAGGCTCAGGAATCTGTACACCTGTTGATTGATGGTTGAGAGGCGGGACCAAAGAGCCAGAGCTCAACCCCCGCAAACACAACTAGGTGAGTACTCTCGTAGATTAGACGTTTTGGCAGTTCTTGGAACTCCAAGAATGATTGTCATGGCTTCATTCTGAATGCTTTCAAGCCTTTTCATTACGTGAATGTGAACACCGAGAGACATTAGAAATATGTGTAGAATAATAAACCCCAAATTGTTTGAGTTAGGAAAACTGTCAAATACTGATACTGTTATCTTGAGGTTATCTTGAGATGATTTCGGGGCTTGATTTCGTCCCCGCGGCCCGGTCCTCGACCAGGCCTTCTTTTTGTTACACACCCCCAGGAAGCAGCCAGTAGCAGCTGTTTAACTCCCAGGTACCTATTTACTGCTAGGTAACAGGGGCATCAGGGTGAAAGAAACAATTTGCCCATTTGTCTCCGCCTCCACCGCGGATCGAACCCGGAACCTCAGGACTACGAATCTGAAGCGCTGTCCACTCAGCTGTCAGACGCTGTTCTCAAAAGATTCTCCCATTTTGCACCCGCAAGATAACGTAAGATCTTAAGGGTTAACAGATGTTTATCTTCTTGTTCAAGAAGATGTTCACTTGAGACAGTTAAGCAAGTCCCAGCTGTGCCTGGGTACAAGTGACAGGATGAACCACCCAGCGGGTTTTCTTCCTATCGGGGAGTGCTGTACATGCTGCTATGGCGGTGTGTCCACTCAAAGGACGAGTGGCCAATAAACTCGCCCCTCGGTGCAAAATTAAAAAAAAAAATTAAATTCTTCAGATTTGGCAAAATTGTAATTAAATTTTGTAAATAAAGATGTTAATAATAACAAAAATGAAGCAATATAATCTATAACTAATGTACTACACATGTAAATTGTGTAGCCTATAAATCAGAGCGGTTCGGTTTCTGGCAATACTGTGTGTGTGCTTCCGTAACCTTCATCACATCATTATCTTGAGGTTATCTTGAGATGATTTCGGGGCTTTTTTAGTGTCCCCGCGGCCCGGTCCTCGACCAGGCCTCCACCCCTAGGAAGCAGCCCGTGATAGCTGACTAACACCCAGGTACCTATTTTACTGCTAGGTAACAGGGGCATAGGGTGAAAGAAACTCTGCCCATTGTTTCTCGCCGGCGCCTGGGATCGAACCCAGGACCACAGGATCGCAAGTCCAGCGTGCTGTCCGCTCGGCCGACCGCCTCATTATATTGGTCTGCCTCCAAAATAAATTTTCCTGCTTCTACTCTACACAGGCTTTGTTGTTGTTGACTGGTCCCTTTCACAGAATATACTCAAATGCTCTAATCTTTCTAACAAACGTGATCTAACATAAGCTTAATCTTCCATTTATTTATCTTTCTCTTTCCTTTTTCGTTTTCTGTCCATTATTTTTTTTACGATCCCTTGCTATCCTCTTCTTATTCAATTACTATCCCCTTCTTATTGGGTGGTTATAAATAAGAGCTGCCTCGTATGGGCCAATAGGCTTTCTGCAGTTACCTTTCTTCTTTTTCCTGTTACTATCCCCTCTACTACACCTCACCGTTCGTACCTTTTGCCTTGCTCCTCACCTCTCTCTTGCCTATTTATTGCCTTCAACTCGTTCCCTCATTTTTTTTTTCACGGGAGACATCTCCCGTCACGCAGGGTGCAGTCGCACCTCCACAGATGGCTCAAAAGGACCACCACTTACGGGCTATTCATGCCCGTGCCACCTTTTGGGTGGCTTAATCTTCATCAATCAATCTTCCCTCATTTAAGGGCTCACCATAGCCCGTGCTACTGGAACTTATTGTTCTGAGTAGCTGAATCTATAACAACAACAACAACGTTCCCTCATCAGACCGCTCCTGTGCCAGGTAAGTCCACTACGGCTCACCATAGCACGTTCTACTTGAGAACTTATCCTAGTAGCTGAATCTATAACAACAACAACAACGTTCCCTCATCACAATCGACTTGAAAATGGTCCAGGACGGACCGAAACGTCGTCGTCCCTTCATTTTCTAGTGTGTGGATTGGTCAACACATCATTATACCTAAACCAATTCAAACGCTAAATAGACTGGTGTATACACTATAACAAGTAACTTGTAATAGAGTCCGGTATGCGCCTCGAACTTTTTTTCCACTACGACTCAAATTTTGAGAATAGGATTCATAAATGAACTATCCTCCCCCCCGCTAACCTAACTAAACTGTTATTGAAATTGAAATTGAAATAATATTGAGGTAAAATACACACAAAGGGATGAGGTAGCTCAAGCTATTCTCACCCCGTTCAGTACATCGTGTTAATACATACATATACACACATCACAAACAATAAACATATTACCAAACATTCTGAGAGATAAACATATACATTTCCTCCTTTACACAAGTAGTATGGTATCAGACGTACACACAAATACTTTT